TATCTCCACTGAGCACCTTGCCAGGCAGTAAAACATAAACTCTCAGCCATTACCGTCCCTGATCATCCCCTTCAATTTATTACAGAGTCAGCTGTCGAGTTCATTACTCTCATTTCTGAGGTCTCCCTTTGTTTCTAATGAGCTCAGCTACGCACTTTGAGCAATTTGTGTTCACTACAGCCCAGCATTTCCAGGTATCTGTTGGGGGCGGGGGTGAGGGGCTGTTCTTTTTCCTAGTTTGCCATCTTACTGGATAAGAAGCCCCTCGCCCGCACTCTGCCTGACCTCTACCTGTAGTCTTCCCACCCCACCCAACTCGCTAGCAAGAATGGCACCTCTACACCGTAGGTGCTCACCACCCTCGGGCCAGATCAAAGTTCTCAATCAATTAATGCAATGGACTGATGTTTAGAAAGAGCTGTACAGTGCTGAAACCCACTGGCATACAGGGTTGCAAACTGAGGCTCTACAGTGGGCCAGAAAGTGACTGTTGGTGCTGTTCCTGCCAGGATGCTGGAAGGTAGGAAACATGAGTGGACGTGGTTTCTGTCTTAGGCTGCAAGGTGGAACTCACCTATCCTATTTTAGCTAGGGAAGGCTGTAGGGGAGAGTAGAAAATAATCAGGGTTTGGGTCCTTTCAGGTAAGCAGTTTCAACCCCTCAGCCCTCGTTTCTCCTCCCGTGCACTGAGGGTAATGCTAGCTCTGCTGTGAGGTCAAAGGTCGATGTCAGAAAGCATCTAGCACATGGAAGACACATGATACTTGGTGGCTGACATTCATCTTCTCCATCCACATGGAGACTGTCCACCAATCATGAGAACAGTGGGCACAAGAAGTCCTTCACGAATGGTTACTCCTCATGGGGGAGTTCCTGCCCGTAATTCTGGTTCCCTACTCGGGTTCCTTTGAAGGCTCTTTGGCAGTGGTGTGGACTTAGCACAACCTGATAAAACAAAGCAGAATCTGCTTAGATGCTGGGAACAACTCTAGGAGGCCAGGCTCAGAGTTTGCATTCAACAAAACCTGCAAAGGATCTTCACGGGTTTCAACCAGGGCAATGATGTGATAAAAAAGGTGCTTAAGAAAGACGGTTCTAATAACAGAGTCCCAGATGGAGCAGGAGAAAGGTGGGCTGCAGAACTCAAATTCTAGTAAGAAGACCAGACTTAATGGTCTGACTGAGACTGGAGGAACCTCGGAAAGCACGGCCCCTGGATTCTCTATCAGCCCAGAACTAAAACAATTTCCGAGGCCAACTCTTCAGAGAGGGATTGGACTGGACTGTGGGACATAAAGTGATACTCGTGAGGAGTGTGCCTCTTAGCTCAAGTAGGTACAAGAGACTAAATGGGCAGCTTCTGTCCAGAGGCGAGATGGGAAGGCAGAGAGCTGGTTGAATGGACATGGGGAATCAGGGGTAGAAAGGAGGAGTGTGCTGTCACAGTATGGGGAGAGCAACTAGGGCCACATAACAATGTATGTATAAATTTTTGTATAGGCTACTAACTTGAAATGTAAACATCTAAACTATAACAATAAAAAATAAAAAAAAAAGAAAGGAAGATGGTTCTAGCAGTTCTAAAAAAACGGAAGTGGGTGAGACCAGGAACAGGGAAGGAGCCAGAGGGTAGAAGCAGTCAGGGACGAAAGCATCCAGGTCCTTAGGGAGCTTACTTTCTGGTCCAGTTTTCTCTTGATTTTAAATTAACTCATATCCTCACATTTATCTAAACTTACAAAGGCAGTAGCACTTGTGTACACTAAAACGTCTCTGGGGAAAGTCGCCTAAGTCCCTTTGGGGTGGCCTTGTTGTTGTCAGTTGCCCCTGAGTCAGCTCCGACTCATGGTGACCTTCTGTATAACAGGACGAAAGGTTGCCCAGTCCTACACCATCTTCATGGTCGCTGGTAGGTCTGAGTTCATTCTTGTGGCTACTGGGTCGATCCATCGCATGGAGGGCTTCCTCCATGTTCACTGAGCCTCTACTCTGCCAACCATGATGTCCTTTTCTAGAGATTGGTCTTTCCTGATGATGTGTCCAAAGTAAGTGAGATGAAGTCTTGCCATCCTCATCTCGAAGGAACATTCTGGTTGTACTTCTTCTAAGACTAATTTAAATACAAGATTATCTGGCTTCTATCTGTAAACCTGTCTGTCAGCTTGTCCTACTGTGGTGGCTTACGTGTTGCTGTGTTGCTGGAAGCTATGCCACCAGCAGAGCCACCCATAGTGGGTAGGCTTCAGCAGAGCTTCCAGACTAAGATGGACTAGGAAGAGAGGCCTGGCAATCTGTTTCCAAAAATCAGCCAACAAAACCCCTATGTATAACAAGAGAGTATCGGGATGTTCTTACGTAAGGGAATTACAGCAGAGTCCCCCAAACTCCCCAGATGGTGGTCGCTGATATCCCTGAACCCCTTCTCATGAGAGAAGCATCTGGAATCAACCGTAACCACGGGACAGGAAGATGGATGAACACCTCTGGGTCGCGATGCTTTGTAAACACAAGCACCAGAAAGACCTTACACCGCACACCTGTCAGCCCTGCCAAGAAACGATTTTATCAGAGAGCAAATGCAGGTGAAAAATGAAAAGCCGGGGTCAATTTCATTGTACAGCTGATTTTATTTACAGACAGAAGCCAGATAATCTTGTATTTAAATGACAGAAGTTCCATCACTCATGATCAGTGACATTTGAAATTTATAAAGTTTCACATTATGATTCAATCCCTCTTCTAAGGGGGGAAACCTTCCAAGGAAACACAGACAAGGCGAGGGGAACAGCGAGCTGGTACTTGGGCAAACTCACCTCTAATGGGCACATTTTTCTTCAAAAGCAACAGATAAATCACAAGGCAGCTGGATCAGCTTAAGAGATATGAGGTCTCCACGCTTCAAGTACATGAAGGGCTTCTACTTCTCTCTGTTGATTCCTAAGTTATCGAAAGTAACATGAACCCACCCAGTTTCCCACAATAGAATCATTTCAGCTAACTCCTCCAGATTAAACCTCAAGGCCTGAGTCTTCCGACGACAATTTAAAGGTTTGTTTGGGCCATTTCTAATCAAGGAGCCTGGCTGGGACCTCTCCACTTAGTGGCATCAGAAGGAGCGTGATGACAACGGCTCAGGAAAGGCAAACCCTGACAGGACACCAAGCACTGTCTCATCTTTTCAACAGGAGGGCCCACAGGGTCCTGGCTGAGCTCACGGACGCCCACGCACCCTCCGTTTCAGTGGAAGCACCTCACATCGGTTCACCTGCATGTGAGTGACCGGCCGATCCTTGGACGTTTGGCCTCCAGAAAGCGTCTATCAACCAAACTCTGTCTGGCCTTTAAAACGTGATGCTGGGTGAAGTCAGTGAGAGACCAAAGGACAAAGGTGGTATACGCTCCCACTCACAGGAAACACCTAGGATTGGCAAAGGCAGAGAGACCGAAGTTTATCAGTGTTTCCAGGGGCGGGAGCAGGGGAGGGGAGTCACCGTTTAGGAAGCATTCAGCTTCTGTTTATGGAGATGAAAATCCGGCAACGGAGCCTAGCAATGGCTGCACAACATAATTAATATAATTGACAACACTAAACTGTACACGAGGAAACCGTTAAATTGGCAAATGTTGTGTTATATACTTCTTTACAACAATAAAAAAAAAATCCTGCTCGAGTACCCTCCTCTGTGTGATCAGGCAACCCTCCTGGGAACCCTCACGAGGGTGTGTGGCTGCCTCAGTGGGGCCGAAACGTCACCCTCTGTTGGACAGGAGCTCCACGGGCAGCCCCGGGCCTCACACGCCTTGGCGTCCCCAGCGGGGAGCACAGTCCACCCCCTCCTCACTTATCAACTATCTCGTTATCTGACGTTTGACATTTACGACAACAGTAAAAAAAATATACTATCTGACAATTTTGCACATTAACGACGTAGTCTGGCAGTAACGAATGCCAAGGTGTCAAGCGAGAGTAACTCTGGCTGTGATGGTCAAGGTTATGTGACTGGCTGGCTGTGATGGCTGGCTGTGATGGCCGAGCCGTGATTCTCAGTGGTTTGGCAGTTATATAATGATGTAATCTGGCAGTGATGGAATGATGTCATCATCCTCCATTTTGTGATCTGATGCAGTCATCCTCCATTTTCGCCTAATGCTGATTTTCGCATAATGACCTGGTCTTTGGAAGCTAACCATGTCAATAAATGAGGAGTGGGTGTACTGGCACAATTCAGGTGTCTAGGACAGGCGTGTGAGGTCAAATGAAGCTGACAGGGGCCCAGTAACTGCGGACGTCCACCCACCTGGGCCATGTCTTTGAGCCCTCGAATCTCAAGTCCTTGTCCCTGCTCCTATGGGCACCCCGCAGGATTATCCCCCACACCACCTCCACACAACCGTCCCTGTCACCGTGAGACCCGTGACAAGCTCGGCCACGGCCCCAGCATCCTGACCCCAAGCCGAGCAAGTGGGACCCCCGCCAGCTCCTGTCTTCCCCTCAGCACCAGGCTCGACTATCACTCACCAACCTCTTAGACTGCTGCCCATGAGGGCTAGCAGGGCTGTGCGTGCCACCTGGTCACAGGGCCTGGCTTTACAGATGAGGCACTGGAGCCCCAAACTGATACCCTGTGACGGCTAGATTCCCCTGAGTACGCCTGGCCGAGTCTGAGCAATGAGGAGTGGATAAGCTCCTGCAGTGGATGCTGGAGTCTGAGAGCAGGCAGCAGAGCCAGCAGCACGGATCCTCAGCCCCAGGATCCCTGCCCAGGGTCTGCCCTCTGCACCCCTCAGCAGGACACCATGGCGTCCCCAGAACAAGGGGCTCACACACAGCATTTCTCCCACCTACAGCCACCCTGAAGACCACATCCTATTCCACATGTGGACACCGAGGGTCCCAAGGTTAGCAAGCGGCGGAGCTGAGGTGCAGGCGCAGGCCTGGGGGTCAAGCCCGGCGCTCTCTGGACATGAAGCACCCCTCCCTGCACACGGCCAGACCTCACCTGGATGCCATCCAGCAGCCGGCTCATGCACCAGTAGGTGTCAGCCTCGATGTCGCACAGCACGTCCGCAGGAACGCGAGAGACGTCCACCGTGTCCACGTCCTCCCCATCTGCGAAGCACACACATGGGAAGAGACAACAGGCCATTAACCACACAAGCCATCAGCACAGGCGGGGAGAGGCGTGTGGGGAGACACACTCACCTGCCGCCCCCCCCCTTCCTCCAGCTGAACTGCTCATGCAGCCTACAACTCGTCACTCAGTGCTTCTCGGTTTTAACACCTAGTTAGTTATAGATAATAATATTCTGAATACTCCCTGGTCAATTAACATGATTAACAGTAAATTATTGCTTATCAGGCATCTCACATCTGAATAAGGGAGAACCTAGAATACACTATTTATCCCAAGTTCTTTTAAAAGATTATAAAACTCTGCTCCTAATGTATTTACATATTCACTTAGGAATACACACAGTTCCCAGCTTAGAACGGGGTTCTGTTCTGATGACTCCGACGTAAGTCGGATCTGACGTAAGTCAAATATCTCATTTTTTTAGTTTTCATTATTATTGCCTTTTATTATCAGTGTCTTTATAAATCATAACATTGAACACCTGCGAGTGAACATCTGAGGATGATAACATTAGCAAATTATATGCTGGAACACTGTATGTAGTACATATTACTAACGATAAAATGTACGCAAAAAAAGATCGCAGTGCAGTTCGTTGCAACTCGAATACATCATAAGTTGGGGACTACCTTTAACCCCCCTAAAAACGTGTTTCTGAAGTTAGCTTTTCCAACCACACCAGGCAAGTGCTCTTGTGCCCTGATCAAACCCCCTAGAAGGCAGCAGCACAGAGGCAGTGGGAAGAAACCACAGGCTATGGGGTGCTAAGTCATTTCCTCCTTAAAGCATAGAAAACCTAAGGAGAAAAGATAAAAGTTTTTAAAATGCAAAACAGACGCTCAATTGAAATGTCCTGTCAGATATGTGAACACACTAATTTTAGATCCTTAGAAAAAGTGTTCTCATTCAGTGCAACACCCAGAAACGCCTGAAAAACTGTGTCTCTGGTTTTTCTACTTTACTTATTTTGCAAATGTGCATGGTATCCTTTGCAAGGAAAATCACTTTGAGAAAAAAAAATTCGGGCCCAGAATATATCTAGAGGGTGTAAATTAGTGTAAAACTCGCAGTAATCGTAACAGCAGTAATGACTGCGAATGCTCCTCAAGCACATCCCACATGCCAGGCGCTCTCCTCCACATTCAACTGCACTACTGCATCTCATTACTACCACCACCACTGCCCTGCTAAGGAAAGTGGGGTGTGGAAAGACGCCAGCCGCCCGGGTCCTGGTACTGGCGGGGGTGGGGTCAGGACGTGGCCTCACATCTGGTCCCAGAGCCTACGCTCATAACCGCACCTTGCACAGTACGATAGCTCCATGGCTCTTCCCTCGTTCCCACCAGGGCCTCACCCACACGCAGTCCCACCTTCTCCCTTGTTCACAACAGAAATCAGAGAGGCACAAGGAGGGAAGAGCGTCTCCACGTCGGCATCCCACAGAGTGGAACAGAAGCTGCGTAGCTGGCACCACACGTGTTGTCCCCGTGAGCCAAGCAGGAAGGTGGTGGCCCTGACACGGAGCACAGTGGAAGCTGCATGGCTGGGACCACACATGCTGCCCCGTGAGCCCACCAGGAAGGTGGTGGCCCTGACAGGGAGCTACCACAGAACAGTGTCACTGAACTATACACGTAGAAACTGTTGAAATGGCATGCGTTTTGGTGTGTATGTGTTCACCACAGTAAATTTTTTTTTAAAAATCAGTGGAAAAAAAGAGCATCAGCCCAGGAAAGGCCCCCCCCCCCCCGACTCACGCCCCACCTGTCCTGACAGGATAAGAGGTGCCTATCAAGTACAGAGACAGGCGTACAGACTGCCCCTCAGCCGCGGGTGATCACCTGGCTGGGAAATGGCTATGACCTGCAGAACCGACCCAATGCCCACCAACTGAGGGCAGGCCTGGTTTCATCTTCCAATCGCAAGGAACTGAATCAGCAGCAGCCATCAGAAGACGTCCTCTGAGAAGTTTTCCATCGACATATTCTCTTTCTCAAGGGCCTTCGAGCATCGAGACACTTCCTCAGATATAACAAAAGTAAACAGGGAAATAAAACACTCCCCAGACCTCAAGACTGTCTCCTGATGTTTACAGAAGCAACGATGCTATCAGACCAAACTCACAGAAAACAGGCCACTTCAGGAGGCCAGCAGAAGCCCCTTGATTTTTGTCTGTTTAACTGGCTTCCTATTTTATCCAAGGAAATGCCAGTGGTCTATTCTTCTGTCATTTCTCACAGCGGGCATTTGTTACCCGTCAATGTAATGAGGCGATGGCATTCACCTCAGTGAAGCCCGACACTAATCTGTCTTCTAAACACCCCAAGAATCAGAATTACCCTGTAGTTAAAATGAAATAAAGATCCCTCCGGCCGGAAAGCACCTACGGATACCTGGAGAAAGCGCAAAGAGGTGCACAGAACATTCTAGAAGCCCCCAGGCTGCAATCTGAAAAAGCGGCACAAGAGAAAGGCTGCTCCCAGAGCATCTCCGTGAGGTAGTGTGTGGCACCTCCTGAAGGGAGTGCCGGGTGGGCCCAAGACCACCAAGAGGCTGTTCTCGACTTGGCTCCGCAGGAGACAGGCCCAGAGCAACCATGGCAAAGTCGGCACCTCCCACTCCTCAGCCACAGGCAAACCGTGTGTGCGTTGAAACGTGTGAAAGGATGTCCCCTGGCTCCCAGGAGAGGCAGAATGAATGAATGAATGAATGAACAAATGAACAAATGGGTGAGAAGCAGCAGGGGGGCATTTTACATCCTGCAGAACATGAGCAGGTGAGGGCTGGCTCTGGGCTTCAACACCCCGTCTGTGAATGGGGCATTCTGGAAGGTAGGCGAGAGAACAGGCCCCAGGACAGGAAGTGATGATGGTGAGTCTATCATCACCCTGGGGCAGTGAGGGGCACGCGCTCACCTGTCCTGCACGTGGCCACCCTGTGGACGGTATTCACACCCTGCAGGACCACACGAGGCCAGCGAGGCACCAGTGTGGACACACCCTCTCCTTCAAGAAGAAGTACCACCATGCGCTCAGGCCCATGTGGACCAGGCTCGTGTGCACGGCCCAGAGTGGACACAACTCTCTCCTCTTGGAACAGGCAAGGCAGGTGGGTGCCGACCAGGCTCGTGTGCACGGCCCA